TTTTTTTTTTTTTTTTTTTTTCAAAGGGCGACGGCCATTGAGCTGACAGGCCCCAAGCAATTCATTAGTAGTTGGTTTTACTCGTGAAGTCCCATCATCTGGATTCGAACACAGCACCTGGTCTGTATTTCAACAGTTCATGGGTGTACCCACTGAGCTAGGCTCTTGGGTAGAGATCTTTAACTTCGCTGTTAGAGGTGTGTGTCTTCCTTTTTTTTTCCCAGTTGCGCGACGGTCTTGAGGGGTGCTCGAACTGCCCGGGCAAAGGTCATTGATGAGAGAGAGATTTTAGTCATCTGTCGCCGGGCTCGAGCTCGACTCTACTTCTCAGCATCTCATCGGCATCCCATTCAGCCACATGGGCTATCGTAGATTTATCAGAGTTGTCTGTTTGCTGGCAGAGGGTCAGGCCCCACTGGTGCTATGTTCGTCATTGGAAGCACTAACATGGCCTTGATAGAGGACAGATTCATCCTTCCATAGCATGAACATAGCACGAGTGTGGCTCGGCCGCGAGTTACGAACATAGCACGGGTAGGGCCGTTACGGATTCGAAAAAAAGCAGTTTTTTTATTTCTCGTTTTTTTTTTTTTTTTTTTTTTTTTTCGGAAATCGCGATCGCCTTGCCGCATCATCATCGTCTGGCTGACCGGAGAGGTCCCAGGTAAGAGCCTCGCTCCACTATTCGCCACATGCACAAGAGGACAAAATTATGGTGAACGGGTAGGTCGACAAATGGTGTTGCTCTCGTGCATTCTGCCCACCAGTATAATGTCCCATCACCATGAACGTATATCTACGAGCCCGTTCTGTTCAAATACTGGGGCATATAAACAAATTTGCCCAGGGCCTGGTAGGGGTACTATATGCATAACATGACAGGTCCAATTGGCGAGTGGGGTATTTCGCGAGGTTTGACTACTGTCATAGGGGCATTTAGCCATATCCATGCCTTTTAGCGGTATCCCACGAGATACCCAAACTTTCAGGGGCATTTCCTCTCTTCTTTTTTCTTTCTGATTCTGCGCAAGGCTCCTTTCTGTTCTGCACCTTCTTCAGAAGTTATTCATATAAATTGCTGTCTCGACGAGAGTGTCTCGATGTGTGTTAGGAGGTGACGACAACCATCGCTGAATGGTCGGAAGCTTCTTTCAGTCTCACTGCCATAATTGCCAATTGCCATTGGCGCGGTAACCGTTGCCGAGTGGGAGCGAGCATCCGCAAGCTCAAGCTCAAGCTCAAGCTCAAGTGACTTGCTGCCCAAGACCGGCAAAAGGGAATCGGAGCACAGCAATCAGGGACAACAAACAGCGTCACCACTGGCCGGCAGGTATGGCCGACTATGCCCCGCGTGCATTTGTAGTGCTGTCACCGAACGAATTCATAGATAGATATACATGTCTCCATCTGTGTAGCCAGGTGTACATACCCATCTGGATGCGAGTATAGATATAGTCATATATACCACGCATATGTGTATGACATTGTGTGTATTGTATTGCCACCTAACATTCATAACTGATTCTCTTTGTGTGTGTGTGTGTGTGCTGTCTCTTATACACATCTAGATGTGTATAAGAGACAGG